TACACAGGGGGAGGGGGCTTGTGTTTTTCAGTAATACGGGCACGACACCCTTTAAGATTACCGTGAATTTGCCGTCACTGTATCGACACCATGATACAGATTCATGCGCTGGCAGAAGACCCGCTCTGAGTTGCCATAGACTTGGTTGCTGAGTTCGGCGTTCACTAGGTTTACTCCTTTGCTTCTCTACTGAGCGGTAAAGGTTCACTGGCGGAATTCGCATAACAGCAATGGAATTACCGATCTGGGGGGCCGTAATGTTCTGCCCTGGTTCTGCACCTGCACCTAATTTCGTGTGCCAAGGCTGATACGACTGAGGTCATGCCAAGGGACGCCAGGAATACCGCAGGTTGATCTTTTCGCATCCAGTCCAATTGGGAAACGAGATGATAAATTGGTCGGACTTGTTGGAGGAACTTCAAATTATTCGGCATTTACTTGTGTAGGGCCACCTGCTTCTCATGACAGCGTTCTGTCCCTTCATCATCACAACCAGGGACAGGAGACTGCGGAAGCTGCTGACATTCACTGCGCTTCGAGAGCAAAGTTTTCCGTTTCCAACACCTGCTTCAATCAAAGCTCAGGTACGAGGATAGTTAGCGTTCGCGGGGGCCAGTCTTTACCATGGACTAGGACGCGCAGGTATGTCAGAGACCAACCAGACCTATTTTGGCTGCAAGTAACGGCGAACGCCAAAATAGTCGATTGTCATCGAGTCAGTATACATAAGCCTAAAGACCACAACCAGAAATCAGGATGGCTTACAGTTGAAGGGAAATTGAACGAGCAACATCGGCAGTCATTAAAGCATCTCTGCGTCACTTGAACAAGGCGATGGCGGCAGAAGGCGACATCTGAGAGTTCATTCTCAGTCTCAACTACTGTTTTTTTTGAGAAGGATATCCCGAAGAATCTGGTGGACATCACATCAGTATTTGTAGTGGTAATAGGTTTAACAGCATATTGTTTGGTGCGCGCCCCTAAAACGGGCCGCACGGCATGTGCTCTAGACTAATCTAGGGTCTAAATGGGAGTCCAACAGGCGTTATCGGGAATGTGCACTCATAACAACTGCCCATATTGGGGTGTGGCGATGCGCCCACTTGTCGACTGACGTCGCGCACCTTGAAATCCCTAGCGCCCCTCCGCATTGTTCTTGCTGGTTAAAATCATGGTCAATGTGCGTTGGGGACCGGGGGGGGGGGATGTGGTGGTGGGCCTAGGTGGGGGTTTACACCGTGCCAGCTACCTGCGCCTCTTAACGCCTTCAGTCCACTGTCACCGTAATCTAAGTCACGCGCAAGTCACAGTCCCCGCTCTCACCCTGTTATGGAGCACCCAGTTGACACCAATGGTAAGGGGGCTCTCACCGATTGTTCTTGCTGAAGTTACTCGTTCTGTTGTGTCTTATGGGCTCTCTCTTTAGCCCAACCAGCAGCCGCACAGCGGCGCGTGATATAGGCAGAATGACATAACCGACAAAAATAATGGAGTCTCCCTTGTCTTTGGCGGTAATGCCATTCTGCCGGTTGACACCGTCGGCACCAACCGTCATACTGTTCATTGCCCTGTGCAAGCGCGAATGCGGTGTCGTAGTTTGATTGGCTCCTTTTAACATATTAAAAGTAATGGTCAGGCACTTTAAGCAACCGCTACTCCCCTTGCCCCAAAACCGGCGTTGAGAGGGCGGAGTGACAATGGATGCGTCGTTCGAGAATACTTGCTGTCTGAATGCATGGCGCATGGTTACATTCCAGTGTATAATGCATCAAAATGAAGCTAGTAAATGCTGATCGAGATCAGCAAGCTCTTGTTCATTGCTTTCTTCACCACTCTTTTTCCCACGAACGCAAGAGGTGGTCTCTGCCTTCCAACCAAATTGCATATCCTAAATCCATGCGCTTAATTCATCAACCCACGTTGATTATACCAGAAGCTCGAATTCGGGCATGGACCTACGAAAGTTGTATTCACCG